ACGGTGAGCTGCGTTTTACCTCCTGAATAACGGGCTTCTTATCTCGCCGTGCCACCGGAGCTCCATTATTGCAATGCATTTTATAGTGAGGGAGGACGAGGGAGAAAGACAGACGGGTGCAATTCGGATTCTCGTCTCCTCATTGACCCGACTGTCTACAAACCACACACTGGATCTCTGTGGCCGCTGGATTTATGACCCGTTTACCATCACGCCAAGGTCACATTCTCAGCGACACCTGGGTCAGCGGTACGGGCTTCCTGGGAAGCATCAAGAGAAGCTTTCGCTAATGAGGTCTTATTTTATTAACCTTGTGGCGCCGCAGGGGTTTTTCTCTTTTCCTGATTGGTCTTAGGAGACTTTAATTAGAGAATGGCTTCCGTTGTGAAATACTGTATCGTTTGTGATGAATCAAAGGCACGCAGGTGGCAACGGTGCAATCCTATCCCAAAGAGCGATAACGCACCTCGTTTTCATTTAACCATCGACTACAGACTGACCAAATGACCCTGACGTCTGGAGCCATTAAGAGCATCGACTCACAAGGCTGGCGGCTGCTCTCTGTTGGCTCGGGTCTATTCATTAAATTGGCTGACAAATGATGATTGCCTCTTACATGTGAGCTTCTTAATGTGCTGACAAATCCTCAAGAAAGGGTGACTCTGGGGTTTGTAAACGGGAGGTGATGATCATTATTCTGCCGCTATAATCGGATGCATTAAAGTCCTGTGTGTGTGTGAAACGTACGCTAAAGATGGTGTGAATGCATTAGCGAGGTCACGCCCGTGTACATGCGTCACCTCAGGCTCTGTGTGCCCTTTTATTAGCAGCAAGCTGACTCCTTTTAGCTTGGCTAGTGATTAAAACTTCATGGCAAGAACTTTCACACCGCTGTGAACCGTGTGAGGTGATTAAAAGCCGCTCAATTTGTAGTCCAGTCCCACTGCTATTCCTCCTCATTGATCTTTTTTTTCGGGCCCTTGAAGTGAGAGCTGCAGGCGGAGGGCTCCTCTCATTGGAATACGACCGGATGCACGCGCTGCCCACCTGCCTCAGCAAATATTTCCCGGGCACGTATCAAATCTAATTACCGCTAAAATTAGCTGCCATGTGAGGCTGGTGCTTAATAACGTTAACGTGATTAACTTTGTTGTGTTTCCTTTTGATATTGTTATGTGAATTTAATGAAGCTCTTTCATGCTGAGCAGTATATCATGAATATGAACATTTATATGATACACAACCAAAGGAGGAATAAATGGTCACACACGATTTTTGTTTCCCCACACAGAACCTTATTATGCTAAATGCTGACAACAGCATGCCAACATGCTGATAATGACGACACAACATGCTGATGTTAAGCAAGTCACTGGTTTTTCAGGTCGGTTTATAAATGACCTGAGGAAACCACAAATGTGTACCAAATGTCGTGTCTCTTCACATTACACAACGGCTCAGTCTAGACTACAGCGGTGGACAGACCCACGAACAAAACAGGGCCAAGTCAGTCAGAAATGAATGCTATCGAATATATATTTATTATTTTGGCCCATGTTAATTAAACTGACTTGACTTTACCCCATTAACAAATGTGTCCGCTTTGAATTCCCAGCCAGGAACACAGAGCTAAGACACAAACACGACTCTTTCACACGCAGCACAGAGAGGAGCAAAGGCCAGGAGGAGGGTTGTTCCATCGGCCACGCAAGACGCAGTTTCCAATCCAACAAGTGGTTTTGGGACAAATAGAAGAGACTGATTACGGTGATGTTCTGATATCAGATGTGATCAAGCAGCAGATTTTTTATTGCAGGTCATTACTGCTGCCATATCTATTAGCATACAAATGGTTTCTGGGCCTATGGAGACCTAAAAGTTATTGCATGTGTAATTGAAGCAGATCTCTGCTCTGTGATTGAGTTGTTCCAACACACACACACACACACACACACACTCGTTGCCATGCACACAGTGGTGAGCATGTTGTGTGCACGCACAAATGCGCCTACTCACTCAGGGTTTTTTTTATACAGGTACAAAAAGAGTAGAAGATGAAGAAAAATAGGAACGAGGAATAGGCTCATGTCATTGATCAGCACAGCACTTTCATCCCCCGTAGACTGTTGGGACACAGTTCGGATTATGAATAACTTTACATTTTAAACATCGGTAAATTGAGAGATATCTCTGTTGCTTTTGGATGTGACTGATGTCAGTGGAAACAAAAGATTGTGATTGCAATGAATCCACATGTTCACAAACTACTGGATGCCAATAAAGCGAATGGTCAAAACGCTCTACATCACTTTCTGCTTAAGGATTTCTCTGCAGTCGTTTCATTTCCAAAAAGGATTTAACGGGGTCATAATAGGGTGGGAGCTTTTAAGTGCTGCTACTCAATTTTATGTGACAGGTCCTTATGACCGTGGCCCGTCACAGAAATTAATGCTGGGAACGGTGGCAGACTTTCAAAAACCAATAGAGTCAAGAATTCAAAATACTTCCTTTATGTGAATATTCGGGCCTGATGATGCGGCTTCTAAAGCTGCATTACATGTATGCGCTTATGTTTTTGCATCGTTGGGTTGCTTCTTGTGTACTGCCTGTGTGCCACCCTGCGCTATATAATGATTGACGATGTACATTTGATTTAGCGCATGGTATAATTCCTGATTATGCAACTATGTGAAGCAGAAGCCAGAAGCTGGTCAGCTTCACAACAGCTGGAATCATGGGGGAGAAACACATGGCCGGGGTCTATTGTAACGCAACAGAATAGAATAATCTATTTAACGTGATCCGTACGCTGATTACGTTAAACAAAGTTTTACAGGGGTTGGCTGAGTCAAGCTGATTGGTGCAGCTAAGCTAACCTGCAGGTCCAACTTAGTATCTGATGCAAACATTTGGGAGTGGTATTGATCTTCCTTTTTCATATTTTCCCAAATATCATAAAGTTCCTTTACAAAAATCTCTTTTTGAGGCCAGAGTACTGTGACTGAAAAGAAAACATCCAAACAAAAGAAAAGGAACGGTGGCAATGTGCAATATAACAAGTAGCTCTCCAATTAGATCCTTGAGGTTGAACCTACCAAGACACAGACAATTACATTTGTCCCATGAACTTTTCATTTCGCTGCTGGTCCTGATGCACCAGGATTTGATTTGTGCATTTCAGCGTCCATAAAGACGGATGAAGCTCCTTACCAAGGCCGTAAGTCTCGGGCAGGACTCAGGAGAAGACATTGAATTACCGCCTCCAAGGCTGTGCTGCACGAAATAGCCACACATTCATAGCATTCACACATCCACCCAAAATGTGTGTGTCTGCATGTGTATGATCGTGCATATGTCTGCAAACCTTCTCGTAAAAATTTTGAAAATCTGTATGGCATCACGAATATTAACAAAAACGAATGACCTCAAAATGTACTAGTACATCTCCATTTGGCTGTGTAGTTGCTCGGGCCGGCTGGCTGGGAGAACTATGCTGACCTGAGTGCAGCCAAATTAGATATTGGCACGGTTGCGTGTATCACACAGTGGGAGTGCTGCTCTGGCTAAGTCACCCCGCTGCTCTGAATCTGGCCAGTGCTCAGCTCAGCAATGCACAATGTAACAGCAGGGAGAAAGCATCTCAGCGCTCCCATTAAGCTGTGGATGAGATAGACAAAAGCAGAACGCATCAGATTGGATTTCTTTCACGGATACTACGTTTTTGTTGATTTGTCATTAGGCTCTCATTTGTGGGTTTGCAAATAAGCTAACGGGAAGTGAAAAAAAATAAATGTCAAAGGGAAGGGCCGTCCCAACGACGCATGGATGGACCGCTTTAAAGAGCATGAATAAAAATTGACATATAAGCAAAGCGCATGTGATCATCGTAGTGGCAAAAATTGAGGAACATCCATCTACTCACATCACTCACCGTCCCTCCTTCCCCCCCGACCCCATCGTAAATTAGTTAAAGGGATGAAAGAGAAAAGAGGTGGAAAGAATGTCACAGAGCACCAGAGGGGATGATGGAGAGTGAGAGAGGGAAAAGGCAGAAATGGGGTGAGCGAGGGGAGATGGAGAGAAAGGGAGGAGGAAGACAACGAGGAGATGGCCGTCATATGCCTCCCCGTCTTTGATCAGTGGTCCGTGGGGAGCCGAGGCGGTGCAGATAGCTGGTCCACAGCTCCGGAGGAACGCGGCTTCACATTCCTCCTGGCTCTTTCCCTCGCTTCTGCAAAATCACGTCTAGTCTTTCAGACCACAGCAGCTGTGAAAACACACCGGGGCTCAGATGCCAGAACAGCGCAGGCCAATGCACTGTGGTGCCATTGTCCTGCTGGTCCTCATCCACGGGTGCAATTCCTCTCCGAGCAAACTCATTCTTACCCTGAGTTTTTTAGTTATAGTTTTTTCTTTTTAGACTGAAAATTGTTTGTTTCTCTTGTTGCTTATTTCTCCTAAGAGAAGGTTTTCTTTTACTATACACACGCCTACCTTAAATGAACAACAGTAAAAAATAAACAGAAATTAAATATAGCCTAAATTTGTATGTTGGGCATTTGCTGAATTTGTTTATAACAACCCAAGAGTATTTTGGATGATAAATGTTATAAATGCTATTTATTTCAGAGTTTATTCTAAAACGATTAGACATCATCAATGGCAACATGCACGAGAAGTCATTAAGTTCTGAAAGAAAAACGTATTGCTAGACACGTTTGTGCAAACTCCATCTGCTAATGAAGATCATGTGATATGACCTGAAGCTAAAAACAACGGACACACACGTTACTTACTGTCGAAATCATTTGACACGAATTGGAATTAATTCAACAATTCTCGACTTTTCACAGCGCCTGACGACGTTCAGCAGGCGAACCGCAAATCTCAACCGCGGCACAATCAGTGCGGGGCCTTCTCTCCTCTCTGGATGTGAATGGGTTCATCGGAAGCCCCGCCCGCCTCGGATGTGACGTCAGCCAATGGAAACGCACCTAGCGCCGTGCAAGAACGTCACCTCATCATCATCAGCACTCTGCTCTGCTGGGACCGCCGTCCTGCTCCCCACAGCAAGCGCTTGTTTTCTGTGATTGACTTGAACGCCTCACACTACGGGAGACGATAAGGGAGACAATAGCCCGCCGGTTGCGTGGGGAGAGCGAAGAACCCGCCGTGGGCGAATGAGGAGACCTTGTCCGAGAGGAAGGAGACGGAGTGCCCGCCTGACTTTACTTCCAAACCAGCGTTGACGCTGTTTTGATGCAGCCGCTTAGCTAACAGGCTAACTGGGAATGTTTTCAGAAATTAGCCGCACTGTTAGCTCGCTAGCTAGCTGAATCGGATTGAGCTGTACAGATTTGTGCGAACACTTGTAATGATGTTTTTACCCGTCGTCGCATTAAGTGGAAGAGCCGTGGAGTTGTCTCGAGCCGGGTACGTTGAATGTTTGCGTCCGCGGTGCCCGCTCGGTTGCTAGTCTCCACAAGGGACAATAGTTAAACTGCCGAGGCAACAAGTCGGGGACACACTACAGCCGTAACTTACAGCCGTAAGTTAGCAACTTACTCAAGTGGGCAATGTTGTTTCCGCTCACTAGAATCTAAACATAAACACCGGGACTCTGTGGGCAAAGTCTTGGTGGTTATACAAAGGACAGTGGGGGGGGCACTTTCACGTTAGATCCCCATTTCTAAGTGGATCGAGTCGCCCTCGTCAAAGGAGAAAGTGACTGCCAGGTAGTCAGTTCGCAACTATTGACGAGGGGGGCGAGGCGGACAAACACCACAAATCGCCCACATGCTTTGGATCAGTTCCCGGACTTGTGAAAGGCATCTGAAGCAGAAGGTGGGAGAAGCGAGCGCGCAGCCGTTGCAGCCCGTGGGAAGATGGCGGAGCGCTCCCGCAGGAGGTGGTGAAACCAAAACCCGCGCGCACCTCGGATTCGTCGCCGGACATCTTACCTCCGTTCGTAGGACACATGCAGGCCAAAAAACGCTACTTAACTCTGTTCTCCGCCGGCGCGTGTCTCATTCTGGTGTTTTGTTTCGGGGGGATACAAGTCCCGCTGGCCCGGGGTCCCGGCCGGCGTGATGACCGCGGCGTCGCCGGGCACCGTCCCGGGGCGCGGTGGCGTCACTTCCCGGGCTCCCTGCAGCCCTTCAGGCGCTGGGAGCAAGACTGGAGCGACGACCCCGATGAACACGCGTCTCCCAGGGGCAACAGGGACGCGAACTCGGGGCTGTACGGCGGGAAGCGCTGCAGAATGGACTCCTGCTTCAACTTCACCCTGTGCGAGAAGAATGGATTTAAAGTTTACGTGTACCCCCAGCAGAAAGGAGAGAAGATGTCGGAGAGCTATCAGAACATCTTGTCCTCTATTGAGGGATCCATGTTCTACACGCCCGACCCGGGACAGGCGTGCCTGTTTGTCCTGAGTTTGGACACTCTGGACCGGGACCAGCTTTCCCCCCAATACGTGCACAACCTGAAAGCTAAAGTCCAGAGCCTCCATCAGTGGAATGGGGGCAGAAACCACATCATCTTCAACTTGTACTCTGGCACCTGGCCGGACTACACAGAAGACCTCGGCCTGGACATCGGCCTCGCCATGCTGGCCAAGGCCAGCATCAGCACCGAGAACTTTAGGCCCGGCTTCGACGTTTCCATCCCTCTGTTCTCTAAAGAACACCCCAGGACCGGAGGGGAGAGGGGCTACTTGAAACACAACACCATCCCCCCTTACAGGAAGTACGTGCTCGTTTTCAAGGGGAAGCGCTACCTGACCGGAATCGGTTCAGACACTAGGAATGCTTTATATCACGTCCATAACTCTGAGGATGTGGTCCTCCTGACCACCTGTAAGCACGGGAAGGACTGGCAGAAGCACAAGGATGCACGCTGCGATAGAGACAACGCCGAGTATGACAAGTAAGTACGATCGGGTTGTTTTACAGCAAGAGTATCTCGGTCATCTGGTCTTAATGGGTTGGCCGTGTTTTATGATGATGTTTTATCACGTTTTTCCTCCTCTGATTGGATCTTAGAGTTGTTAAAGTGGGCGCTGTAACCACCGGATACCACAGTAAAACCACACAGCGGTATCTTACCTTATTGCTGTTGTAATTCTGCTTCCATGTTCTTGTTCACAGCTGTGTAGACCGGAGCATAAAGTCTGGTGTGTCGTGCACATACTTTGTCAGCGTTACCGTGAGACTATTGGGTATGAATGCAGCTCTGTCTGAGGACTGTCCAAGTCCAAGACATGACTTTCTCAAATAACACGTGACGAAGCACAGATGAGCACGTCTTCCTAAAGGTCAGCCCCAGTATTCAGGTAATTCAAGTGATTTCTGTCGACAGCCTGCTATCCAGCAGCGAGTAAATCTCTCCTCTCTCTTTCTCTCGACATTTCCACCTCCCTGCCTTTCGGCGCCACACGAGTCCTCTCCGACAGAAAATGTCAATAGGAAAATTGCAGACACTCGGTTATTGTGATGCTCACAGATGGCTGATGGCTATTTTGCTCAAATTTTTAACATGACAGAAAAGGGTATAAAAGGAGACGTCGCACAGCTCCATCACCTCACAAGGTTCCTCCCTGCTCATCGCCCGCTTCTACCGTTAAGCCACGCGGGGTTCTCCGCCCGAAAGTGACAAGCAGACTGGTGCCTGTCTCCCTGTGTCGGCCGGTGGGATTCATTTTGCATCCCCCTCCCTCCCCCCACCAGGCTGTGCTGTGTTGTTTCTGGTGACTGTGTGGCGCTGGGTGTTTCACTGTGGCTCTCTGGATTATCGGGGACAAAGCGCTGGTGCCAGCGAGGGGAAGCCACTCTGGCCCCTGTTTGCTCAGTCATTTCCCAAACAAACCCAACAGCGTGAGCCAGGAATGCTTTGGCCCCAACTTGTGTCCTCCTTGACCCCTCTGTTGCTTGGTGCCCTGTTGCAACCCCCCATCCCGCCTTGTCATGTGGTTGTTATTGTGGTTGCCTAGATTACACCGAGACGGAGGGACTGCAAATCGTGAAACTGTTCCGCGTTCTTAATTTGGGGGGATTTTGCTGTGTGTGCCTGTGCAGGTAGCCATCGGGTCACGTGGCTCGGCAGAATGACGAGCTATCTGCTCCCTCTTTGCCTCTCTCTGCCAGGGTGGGATCAAAGTCATAACCCAGAGGAACATTAATCCTCCTGTGAGGAAGTAGCATAGAAACAGGCTCCGCGTGTCTCGCGATTTTCAAATGTGAACACTTATCTAGGCCGATCTGCGGCGGGTCTTCATCGTGCTGCAACACATTTCACTCCTTGATCAGATCCTGCTCGCGTTATGATCCCGTTGGCCCCAAATGTTTTGGGAATTTCCATCTCAGTGATTCAAGAGCAACACTGAGTCATAATTTAAAGATTGTTTCTGAAGATCCAAAATGTAGCTGAGCTTTCCCTCCAATGCACACAAACTGTTGGTGGTACGGCGCTCTCGATGCAGGTCGCCGTGTATACTGGTGAGTTGTGTCGTAGAGCCCCATGGGTCAGACAGTACAGTCTGTGGTCTAACTGGGTGGAAGTAATCGTTGCTGTGGCCCTTTTGTGCCACAAATCCCTCTCATCCTCTCCCACTGGCAACGAGGAAGTTGTGACAGACTGAATGCAGCCTCTCATTATAATTGCCGTGTGATGGCCGTGTAATTTTTGTGTGCTGAGACGCCATTCTCCGGATATTGCCTTGGAATGTGCATGGGTTTTTGACATGCTGCGTGTGCACGTGTGTTGTCTGTTTTGAAGGAAAACCATCTGTTTCATTTGAACACTGCTTTGCACCGGACGTCTGGTTGATTGATTTAGTTTGGTTGCAATTCTAGTGTATTTTTGCTCATTTCATCATATTCGTAAATCCTATTCTCTAATCCTGCATGTTCTTTTGAGGGCTAAAAGGTTGGATGTGCAGGGATGGCATGTAGCGGGGATGTTGCAGATTACAACCAACTAAAACTGTATGGGCCATATCGAGAGCCGGCATTTGTTTCTGCCCGGTATGTGGCAAAAATGTCTTCACTATGTCCTTGTTCCTTTTTACATATCACACTTCAATTATCTGGATTAATGGAGCATGTTGTCGTTGGATAAAAAACAAAATGTCGCGTTGTATTCCACGTGTTTGTGTTTTTGCAAGTTGACTACAGCATGTCTCCACCTGGCTTCTGTTTCCTCCCTGTTTATCCCACTCCTCCGTACATCAGCACTCGGCCTCCAGTGTGTACAAGTGTGTAATGCAGCCAAAGGAGAGAAGAAAAGTCCCAGCAGGAGGCAGGTCAGATGCAATTTTAACCTCAAACTGAAAGCCCCTTCACAGCTTGTTTCCAATTAAGAGGCCCTGCCAAGCGAGAGAGTGCAAGATGGATGGAGTGAAAGCTGAGGGACGCGTAGGAGTGGGAGACCAGCTGAAAGTGAGTTGGAAGGGGGGGGCAGGAAGATGAGGGGAAAGGGCCGCGAGTGTGACAAAGTAAAAAAAAAAAACGGAGAGCAGCAGACAAAGGACGGAGAGGTCGTGCCGGCCGTCCACCAGTAACGAGGTGAGTGCAGGAGCTGGCTGGGTGCTGGTCTGCTCGGTGTATTTATAGCATCGCAGGGTTTTAATCCTCGGCGTTGGCCAAAGACCCTGGCACAGGGCTGCTCGCCAACTGGATGCAGGCTTTGCAGCGCTCGGGGAGAACGATAATTGGGAGTAGGAGGGGTTTGCACGATCTGTGAGTTCCTGCACAGTGACTCTTAAGTGGGACATTTGCACTTTTGTTTTTGTACTTTCCAAAAAAGTGGCAGATGGACAAGCAAATGATTGTGGACACCTACGTACGTGTATGCGAGAGGGAAAGTTACATGTGTGTACGTGTACGTATGTCCGACTAAAAAGCTGCAAAGCGCACTGCATGATCGGTTTGTGTTGCATTGGAGTCTTTAGTTCATTGTCGTTTGCTCTGTAACAAACACGATAGAAAAGAACCCACCCAATATCTGATTCATAAAATTCTGAACCGCGAGTCAGAAAGCTCTGCCAGGGACTGCTGCTGCTTCTTGTTTGCTCACCGTACACATTGCTGAGACCGCAGGCCGTGTTTGGCCAGAGTCACATAATGACGGCCCTGTGGGGCCCCACACGGCTCCTACGTTGAAAAGATGTCTGTGAGTTGAGTTATTGCGCAATAAAAAACGTCTTTGTGCTTTTAGTTGAAATATTCATTTCTTTCCTTGCTTGTTTGTTTATTATGGGTAGAGTTAAGAGACCCCGTTGTCCCATGATCATTCAAACCAGAGCATGAGAGCGATGCTTTGCGATGGAGACGGAGCCCTGAAACTCCTCACGTAGCGGAGCTTTTTGCTGAGCAGCGGCCCAACGCCTCCTGTGATATTTTTATCTTCTCATTCTAATTGTTATTGTTATTATAAAAACGAGATGCAGCGGTTGCGCTTGTCTCGCCTGTTTATGAACAGCTGCAGTCCTCTGTGACTCGGGCACTCAGTCAGCCACGGACAGACGGCCCCCGAGTGCTGCAGCCGACACTGAGGGGAGGCTGGTTAACCACAAACCTCTGCACGCGGATTATATGATTGCACTCTGTTGACGCAGGCCTAGCAATTTCATTTATGTGACCACACGATCCTTCTCGGAATGGTCCGCAGTGTTTCCCTTAAGTTAGCACGCGGGCCAGCCGACGGGCGAGGAGCAGGGGGGGGGTTACAATTGTCGCCGTCTGCTGGTGCAATTGTCCGCAAGTGTCCGTTTATGTGCCAAGTTTTCAGTAGGGGAAACACTGGTCTGTGTTTTCCACTTCAGACATGTTGTGTTTGTCCAGTTTCTGAATGAAAGTGACACACGAGAGTCCTGCAAACGACTTTGTGCGGAGTAAACAAAACCCAAGTGGCTTATTGCTTTTAGCAATATGTATCTCTAATACATAACTTTGTCAGTTTAATCCAAACTGTCTACGGATTTCACACCGGAACTGTCACATTTCTTTTATAAAGACACGATATGAGGCTGTTGTTGGTTCTCCGAATTTCCAAAGTAGTTTTTTTAATAGTTTGATGTTTGGAGGGTTCTGTCTCTGGAGCAAACTACATATCAAACTTGAGCCGGAAATGCACAGTGCAGCGTCTGGCTGATCGTGTAAGATGGGATGTATTTGCTCTGATGGTCCTTGGCGTTGTGTTAAGGGAGGAAAGGGCTAAAGGATACAGATGAGGCCCAGCTGGCAGAGAGAGACTCTGGAAAGCGGATAAGCAACTGGCACTACGATCACACAGCCAGCATTTGTATTGATTTTATAGCCAGGCTGAGCCCGACCCTGCATGAAGACCAACCTGCTGATTTAGAGCTCCTAATGTTCACTCTCAACCCTTGACCTTAGGTGACCACTGGTCAAGAAGAGACGCTGTGCATGTTGTCTGAATCCTCTGAACTACAAACACTACAATTTAGTTTAAAGGGTTTCTTTTATGTTTCAAAGGTTTGCAGGTGCTAATGGTTGCGTGGCATCATCACATGTCTCCTTAATCCTCTAAACTACTAAAGTGAACAGTTTTCCAGAAGCATACAATCCACTCACCATCTCATTTATTACCGCCAGGATTTATAGAGGGGGAGGTCAGGGTGAGTAGAGGGCATTACCATCAATGTCCACGTCTCATCACTCAATAATCACGACCAGTGCTTACGCAGCAGCTCGCTCTACATTGCCCTTGACTTCACCTCTTGGCCAGCGCCTCGTTACGAGCCGGTACGGCCTAATATAAGACATCTAAATCTGCCTACTTGTAGCGTTATTAATGCAGCCATCGTCCCCTGCTGCTCTTCAGACGGTGCTTTAAGGGCCTTTCTTACTTCTCCGATTCAATTGCTTTGCTTCACTTCAGCGGAGGGACGGAGGGCATTGGCGTGC